GATGCTCGCATACATTCAGCATGTAAATACGTGTGCATGTAGATTTGCACGGAAGTATGTATGTATGTGTATTAGGGTGGTCCGAAAAAAATTGAAATTTTTATGCTATCACCGTCCCAGGAAGTCGCTAAAGCGCTCAAAATTTTCCAGGTAGCACATCTTTTATATGGAGAAAATCTCTTTTCGTAGAAATGGTAAAAAAATCTTGAAAATCAATATTTTCGATCGGAAAGCTTTGACTCTCTTCAGGAGACTTCCAATAATAACACCCATTTGTTTATTTTAATTTTGTTTTAATATTAAATATTTTTTCGTTGGTCCACCATGGCATTTTCTGGGGTTTTTGGCGAAAGGAAAAATATTAATTTTGAAGAATTGTATACCATTTCTACGAAAAGTTGTTCTTTCCCATAAAAAATACATGGAAAACTTTGAGCGCTTTAAGCGACCTCTAAGACGCAGGATTTTTTTATTTCAAAATAAGAAATAGGCTCATATTTTTTCGGTATGAAACAATCCTAGGAGGGTGAGAGAATAGAGAGCATTTTTGGACCACCCTAATGTGTATAAATATGTATATATTAGTATTTATTATCAGAGGTGTTGTAAATTTGATACTCTTTTATTCAAATGCATGCACATGCAGTCATGGTGTAATAACAATGCACACGTATGTATGTATGTATGTTTGCATCTTAACAGACATCCTTACCTATGCTCGTATGCATGATTTTTGTTTCTTCACAGGCACTTGCAAATATTCAGAACAATGCTACACAATAAGACGTCTGCAAGGCATCATCCAATCGCCACATTCAACACCTTCATTCGTATCGCATGACAAAGCAAATAGACCAAGCGTATTTTCTTCCACATTGAAGGTGCACACAATTTGATATATACATAACTGTAGGTTAATAGTACTACATATGAATGTACATACATAAATACATACATGTGTATAAAGACACGCACCATTGCGCAAATGTTGTTTCCCTAACGGTAAATCTACACGTAGTCTTGAGCAGGCGACCAACTGCTAGTGAACTTGCATTCATGACTAAAGCTCTGAATACACCTGAAAGCATATAGACATTCAACTTATAATGAAAACTAGATTGCCCTCACCCGCTTCGCTGAGTATAGAAAATGTTTATGTGCTATATATGTAAGTGTAACTTATTTCAACTCAACGTACTTAAACTTAGCCAAAACTTAAATCTTCAAATGATTTTTTTAATGCTCTTCAAAATGTTTTCAAGTTAAAACCTCCTTAAACCTCTTGCTGGTGATTTATTTTCTATTTTCTTGTTCCCTTAGTTAAAATCCAATTTGATTTTTTTAACCGGTGGCAACCCTGTCACTTGCGATTTAGAAATTAAGCCTTTTCAAACCCATTTCGATTGATATCCATATTTAAATAATTCATTCAACATTACGAAGTTATTAATTTAACTTTTTTAACAGGTGGCAACCTTCTTAAACAACTTGAGATACATATTTACATGTTTAAATTGCCTTACTCCTGTAATTCACGTTCAACTGAATTTTTCAAACAGGTGGCAACCTTTCGACATGCGGTTTAGTAATAAATCATTTTCAAGACTATTGCAACTGATACCCATATTGTAATAAATCATTTAACTTATTAAATAATTTTAACTGAATTTAATTTTAAAATAGGTGGCAATCCTCTTCAAATACCTGAAAAAATTGAAATGAAAGAATTGTAAACACTCTGCGATTGACACTTTAACTTGTGCATAGTTGAATTAAATTTGCAACCCATATTTTAATAATTGATTTAAATTAACTGAATTTAATTTTTAAACAGTTGGCAAACCTTTTGAAACACCTCAATCGTGTTCTAAATATTCAAAATAAAGGTCTCTTAACAATATTTCGTTTGAACCCCGTATTTAAATTTTTTCATATAGCTTGCGAATAATTTATTTAAATTGGACTTTTCCAACAGCTGGAAACCCTTTACAAAACATATTCAAAGTACAACTTTTTAAGGTTCCTTCGTCGGTCACACATATTATAATTTCTAAATAAAAAATTCTCTTAATTCAAGTTGAATTTTAGTTTTTAAACAGGTATGGAATTGGTTTTGTATTTGTCCAGAACAAGCCCCAGTTCTCTACCATAAATACTTCCAGGAATATACAGTATGAAAAATTGTCTAATAGGGATGAAGGCTAGCCTATATTTTAAGTTGAGCTAAATGACGCCACATTTCATGATGATCGGTTGAGCAGGTAAATCGTGCAAGCGTTACAAACAAACAAACTAAACTTTATATTTTTGGTATTAGTAAGGATTGCATACACACATACATATGTATGTGCCTGACAATATCTGGACTCACAAGCCACTAAATTGGTATTGCAATATCGCCTTATTCGCTTATGGCGAGCTTGATTCACAATACAGCCACTACTTTTTCCAGCGGTCCTCCCGCGTGATATACAGTTAAACTAGGGACCGAAAATAACACTTAAATAACAAGATTTATATTTTCGGAGCATTGCAAAATCGTTAAACTTGGAGTTTTATTTTTTGATCAAAAATAATCGTTATTTTGGAATTTTTTTCGATCACTTTTAATCGATTCAAAAACAATTTCTAATTTCTGCTTTAAGAAATTCCCGTTCAATATAATGTTCCACCTTAAACGAGTCGCTTAAAACTTATTAACCTTCCTTCACTCGCCAGTCGCAGGAAGATGATTGGTAAAATTTGTATGACCACATTACTGTCAGGTATAAATATGAAGATGAAGAAATAAATGTTAACGATGTAGACAAAAAGATAAGGAAAAAGTGCAGATAGAGACGATGAGAAATACATCAGGACTAGGGTAACTGAACGAGTATGGAAATTAATTGAAATTTTTCGATAGGAATCGAAATAAATTCAGTCATAAAAGTTATCGAAATTTATCGAATCATTGAAGTTTATAGCTATCGAAATTTTATCGAGTTATCCATGCTTATTGAGTTATCGCAACGTATCGAATTATTCAAATTGATCAATATTTATTGATTTGTGAAATTTATGGACACAGAGACTTAGTAGTCGAAATTTACGGATAGTTATCGAGCTATAAAAATTTATCGGGTTATCGAAATTTGTCAAGTTATCGATATTTATTTAATTATCATTATTTATAGACTTAACGAAATTTATGAAGTTTTCGTAATGCATCGAGTCTTTTCAACTTACAGAGTTATCGATTATTATTGATCTACTGAAGTGGGTCGATTTATCGAATCGAAGTTTATGGAATTTTCAAAATATATCGATTTATAGAAATTTCAAAGATATATAAGTTTATCGAGTTATCACGGCTTATCGAATTTTATCGTGTAACGAGCTATCGAAATTTTTCGATAGTCTTCGAAAAATATGGAGTAGTCAAATTAAAAATGTATCCAAATATATGCATATACATTTTTGAGTTATCGAAATTTATCGACCACTCGAACCGCACAGTTATCGAAATTAGTCGAGTTATCGGATTTCATTATTTTTAGATGCATTATCGATATGTATCAAATAATTGAAATTTATCGATAAACTGGAATGTATCGTGTCATTTCCGAGGACTGCCGAAGTCCTCCAAAGACCTTCAAAGATATACAAAATTGTAGTCACGTTTTAGTTCCAAAGCAGAAGTTTTCCGGTAAGTTACTTTGTACCTTATAAGTTTAGATATGCGTTAAGTTTGAAAACATCTCCAAGGCCTTATTAAAAAGTCTAAAATTTTGACTAAACGTTTTTGAATTTTGCTAATTTTTTTTTTAAGTTTGAAATTTTGGCTTAATTGGTTTTTGCTAGCTACACTTTCACAAAAAAAAACGATAAACCTTAAATAATCGAAATGAAAACAGCCAAAGAATGCTTAAAAGTCTCTTCCCTATTTATATTTTCGCCAGAGTACAAGTACATATATGTAAGTAAGTTAGATTCTCAAGCGTTAGCTAAATTTAGCCACACTCAAGCGGAAGAGAAATTAAGTTTAAGTTTAAAATTGTAAATTTCATGCATACTCGCAAGCGCCTACACACACATCCTTACAACTCATTGCATACATATGTACATATGTACTATGCTTTCACATGTATGTAGATATATATATATTTATGATTCCTATGTTCATTTCATTGTCATAACTGAAGCTTATTTTACTGAGAACTTTTCAACACGCAACAGCAACAGCAACAGCATTCATGAAAGTTTCAATTACAATTACATAAATTAAATAGTTTCGTTGTTCTTGGTGATATTTAAATAAAACAATGCCACAAAAAAGTGGCTAACAAATTACAGGCTCTACAGGTTAGGTAATTGAAATGACGTTAACTGTTATATTAATCAACTAATTAAAGGAAGGTAAACATTTGTATTGTATATTTATTAAATCAGTGAAATTTTAAACTGACATATGTAAATTTATGGATATGTATCTCTACTTTGTTGTGAATTCGTCATTATCACGCGATATTTCTTCTTGAGTTGAGCTCGTTGATGTGAAGTGCTTTAGTTATGACATTGCACGCTTATTTCGATTCGTGGCTATGAGTGAATTTATTTAAAAATGAAGACAAAAAAAATTTACATGTCAGTGAAGATGAACTTTTTATGTAACTTTTCGAGTAATTCATGAAATAATTGACTTAGCGCTCTAAAATATTATTAGCTTAGTTAAATTTAAACAAAAAAAAATTTTGTTGTACTCAGCAACCGAAGATAACCGTTATATAGCAACATTTCTATTTTTAGACCATTGCGATACCGTTTAAATATTTTTAATTTTTGCATCAAAAATAATTAAGTAATTTATATTATTAAAAATTTAACCGCAATCTAGTGCTCTAATTTAGTTTAATTTTTAACCGGTATAATAAACGCTGTGTCTTTATGAACGATATAAATTAAATACGATTGAGAAGTAAAAAAGAAATTTAAATAAAGAGAACAATAAGTCTACATACCTTTATTGATAGATGCACGCACATAAGCAAAAGTCCATAAATTCTGAAAATAACAAATAAACATATTAATCTTTTCTTAACAAGTTAAAAATAAGTATCGAAATACTTAATTATTTATGTTATGTTGAGTTTTTTTATACAAACATACACTTAAAAGTGAACTGTAAACACACATTTGTCTGTTTTTTTTTTTAAATATTGGACATACATTTTTGGTATTTTTCAAATTAAACATGACTTACTGCTCATTAAAAACTAACCATAATCTAGGAACGTGATATTTTTTTTCCACTTTCAAACTGGACATAATTTTTGGTAATTGAAAAGCTGGACGTAAATTTAAGGTAATTTAGAAATTGGGCATATGTATGTTTTTTGGGCATTTGAAAATTGGACATAAATTTGTGAAAACTTAGAAATTGGACATATATTTTAAGACATTTGAAACTTGAATTTTTGCTAATGTATAAATTGGACACAAATATATTAAGTTGTGGCCTTTTGAGATCCAGATATAAATTCTTAGTAAGTAAAAAACTGGAGATAATTTTTGGTCATTTAAAAGCTGGACATAAATTTAAGGTAATTTAAAAATTGAACATACATATGTGTGGTTTGTGAACATTTTAAAATTGGACATAAATTTGAGGGAACTTAGAAATTGGACATATATTTTTAGACATTTGAAACTTGGACATAAATTTAAGGTAATTCAGAAATTGGACATATGTATGTGATTTTTTGTCATGTAATTATTGTACACATATTTTATTACATTTAAAACTGGGCATTAACAAACAAAAATTTTTGGTCAGTTTTGAACAACCGAGGGCTCAAACTTTAGAGGGAAAATCTCAAGTTTTGAAATTACACAAAAATACGCCGCAGCACGTGAACTTAAGTTGGGGTCGTATATTATCGAACCCTTTTTAGATTAAGTAATTTTCCTAAAATATTTTCATTTAAATTTGCAACATGAACAAAAAAAATGCAGCCTTTAACAGGGAAAAAATGAAAAGAAAAGGTATTGGTTCACTTTTTTTTTGCATTAAACCTGTTCTTTTACAAAAAAAAAGCAAGCTACTCAAGCAGAAAATCGATGGCTAAATAAAAAAGTTGTTTATCGCCAAATGAAAATGTGCAGTGCTTTTTGGTATGACATACCTATGTGTGAGCATGAAAGAATGTTACTCATACGCCATGTACGAGTATGACCAAATATATATGTACGAGTATAACATTCTTTCCTATTTTTTTGAAAACAGGCTTTAATACGAAAAAATTAAAAAAAAATCTATAAACAAGTGTTTATGTTTTGCCTTTCAAAATTTGCATTTCTTTATTCACTATGCTATTTAAAATTGAAATATCTTGGGAAAATTACCTGAACTAAAAAAAACGCTATACAGATCCTTAATTTAATTACTTAGTTTAATTTCCAAATTTTAATTGTGTCATTATAGCAGAGGACCATCGAAATCTAAAGAGCATTAAGCTGGATCTGCATGAAAATCCCAAAATTTTGATTGTGATTTTTCACATTCGACATCCGTTTTGTGTGGCGACAATATTTACACTTATACATACTCAGATGTGGACATTAAAATACGTGCGTAATAAATTTTTGAATGAAAATATTATTTTTAAATACGAAATTTTTAAACGATAATCAAGTATAAAGTATAAACTTGATCTTCTTGGTCCTCAATCTAATTTTCTACGTTGGATCTCTTCATACCTCTATGATAGATCACAAAGGTTTATGTTTAAAAACGCTATTTCTGACGTCATTGATGTTACTTCAGGAGTGCCGCAAGGTAGCCACCTAGGCCCGATTCTGTTCTTGCTTTTTATAAACGATATTTCTATTTTAATGTACGCAGATGATGTGAAACTTTATAAATCGTACTTATCAATCAAAAAGAAAAGCATTCGATACAAGCAGACTTAAACAGCATAGCTAACTGGTGCTATGTTAATCGTATGCCTCTAAATCTGAAAAAATTTAAAGTAATGTGCTCCCCGCGAAGAGCTATTCAGCCACTTTCTTATACGATAGATAACCGATAGATATGGAAGAGGTATACAATATCGTGGACCTTGGTATCACAATGGATCCGAAACTTAATTTTAATCTTCACAATAATGTGACAGTCAACAAGGCTAAAGGTATACTTGCATTTGTGAAACGATGGTAAAAAAAAATTTAGTGACCCCTATATCACTAAAACCCTGTTTACAACATTAGTTAGACCGATTCTGGAATACGGTTCGGTGGTTTGGAATCCCAGGCATCAAATTTACTCAGACAATATAGAATCAATTCAAAAACAATTGCCACTTTGTGACTCGGAGCAAAAATTTAAAATATTGGTTCCGTACGTCATGCGGACTGCGCGCCTCGTGCGGATGGGCGGCAATGGCGGGTAAAAACCGTTGGGAGTATTATTATTATTATATTAAATCAGGCCAAATTAAAACTTAAAATTTTTTTGGCATTTAAATTATATTATTCCAGGCTAAATTTAAACTGTACATACAATAAGTAATTTGGAAAAATTTAGTGAACTTAGCGGGAATATTTTATGCTTAAATTGTATAGCCTAGAACTTGGTATCCGCTGAACCCTCTTAAAAATTTGTAAAATTTGTCCGTTTCTGTTTTCTTTCCGCAATTAAAAACCTTTGCATTAATTTAACTATGGTTCTTCCAGCAAATAGGCAAAATATCATCGATCAAAATAGCACTTGCATAAACGTGTCATTGAAATTTGTTGCAAGAAGTACACAAATTGGTACGCTTTAAAAAGCTTGAAATTAAATTAAATTTTTCTCAACTCGAAAATATGGTATTCTTGGGTACACGCATAGGTTTTTATACTTGTTTGAGTAGTTTCACTAAAACATATGTACGTACGTATGTATGTACGTATAGTCTACTAATTGGTTAATTAAACACATTTCAAATTTGATTTCCGGTCTTTAGTAACCTATTTGGCTGGTAATTGCTGCATTTGCATTAATTAAAATTCATTTTAACATTCCCATTCCATAAATAGTTTTCCCACAGGAGTTGACCGCCACCACTAGTGGAAAGCATCCATTTTTAGCCTTTCAATTTCACTAAAATAAAGTCTAAAAAAAAAATAATGATAATAATTTGCATTTTCTACGCATCGCAAAAAATGAAGGACTTTTTTTTTTTAAAGGATATAGAAAATGTCAAACAAACATTTTTGCCGTGATACCAATTATACATATGTACATATATGTACATGGATACATATGTATGCACATGAATATGCTTGCACGAAAGCAGGATCTAAATAATACAAACAAAACATTAGGGCATATTCTTAGTCAAAATAAAGGCTTGAGCCAGGTTCAAGTAAGGCAACATAGCAAAATGTTCAGCAACCAGTTTTAGTTGGGGTACTCACGTCTGTGGCTTGAGGAAGAGCCTCTGCTCAGACATGTCAGAAAGCATATTTTCGTATATGTGGTAGTATTCCAAATCTACGATAAACGAACAACTGTATTTATAGAGAATCGGTCACCATCTATAACAACTCTCTGCATATGAACGCCGTAATTGGAGGCCAATCTTCACCCATTGCTGACACAGAGCGGCAACTCAAAAATTGTCAAAATTGTCAAAAATTTTTTTTTTAGCTAACTTCGATCGCAAATTTAATTCTCTACAAAACAGGTACATGTAATAACAATATAATAGGGAGATAATTTTAATTTTAGTAAAAAAAAAATATTTATTAACTTAATCATTATTTTTTATTTATATTTACGGGTGAAAAATAATTTATAAATTACTAATTATATAGAAAATTAAATTGCAGAAAAAAGGCCTTTTTGTGAAGAAAACGCACTTTAGATTTTTTTTAATATCAAATTTCACACAATTTGCACAATTATACTTATTAAAGAGCTGCTTGCAGCTCCCAAGAAAAAGCACAAGAAAAAAAATTCCGACGAATTGATAGCCTTCTCCTTGTTATGAAGGTTGTTAAAAACATAAAGTGAGTTTTCTTTACAAAAAAAGTGCAAAAAAGCACTTTCAGCGGGCAAAAACCCCAATTTTCAGTTTTCCTTTAAAAAATTTTAACAGGCAGCCTTTATTCTAGAAAATCTAATTAGAAAATAATTTATAAATTTATGACGGCTAGCGAACGCTGCTCCCCTATCTGTCAACTTGAAGTTTGTGGTTTTGGCTTTACTTAATGGTTTTATTTATTAAGTGCTTATAAGCGGGGTTACGATATTGACCAATAATTTTCATCTTTCAAAAAGATTTTTTTAGAGCATAATGAATCGTATTTTTGCTGTTATCAATTAAAATTCCGAAAAGCGGATTTTCAGCTCACGCTAATAAGCAGGTACCGCAAATATATCTAAATTTCCACCTCGCCCATTGTTCATAGCACGCAAGAATTGAGTATCCACTGTGCCATGTAAATATTGCAAGGATTGCAACTAAGTACTCTGAAGAGTTATAAAAAATTTTTTATTATTAAATTCTATACCACTTACGCAGCCTTAAATTACACTTAACTATTAAAATATCTACAAGTAAGTAAATTAGTGTAATTACGTACAGCTGCGTACATATATTAGAAACTATGTATGGAACCAGTATTAAATGCTTAGTACTCCATACAATTGGCAATGTTATTGGACTTTGCGCGAAATTACATTTGCCATTACATACATGCGCATTAATGAGCTGCTATACGATTTGAGCGTCTTTGCGATTGAATTGATTTTCTAATGTCGATTGGCGGGCAATAAACGAGTTTTTTTTTTTGGTTTTTGCTTTTTTTTAGTACACACAATTGTTATTGTAAAGACAAAAGTGTTATTGGAAAGTTGGGATAATTGCATTTAAATATTGCTTGTTGTTTTTAAATGGCGAGCAATTAGATTTGAAATTACGAAACTTTAAGTGGAATGGAATTGGAACTGGAGCTGAAACTGGAACTGTGCTAATAGCGCAGTGAGGGGGGAAAAGCGCCAAGTTGAGTTGCTAAGA